ATCAACCTTTTGTCTCAGAACAACAGAGCAAGTAGGTGTCAAATATGAGTAAAGTAAACCTATAAGCTGATATAAAGCTGGCTATGGCTGAAGTAGCATAACTGATCCTGGACTTTTGAGACCCATACCGATACTGATGAGTGTGAGTTTAACATTATATCTCATACAGGTGTGCCTTTCTTATATTCTAATATTTTTTGATAAAGATACCTTAAATTTGGCATTTCTGTACTGTAATTTATTGTTACTTTTCAGCCAAAATATACACAGACAATTATAAACCAAACTAAAACTAAAATATAAACTAATTTATTTATCATTTATTATTGTGCTTCGACAGCACCACTTACTTCAAGCCAAAAAAAGATGCATCCCAATTATCAATAATTGTTTTCCATTTTTAAAGTTATGTCCACTCAATTTTAACTTTGAACATTAATTTAATACAATAGTTCAGTTGTTAGCCAGGACCTGTTCTCTTCCATTTGAAAGTTAATAGTTAAATTGCAGCAGTTAGTCTAGACTTTACACTTAACCGTATTTTCAGCTTGTTGCATGAACCTGCAGGACATTTTTTTCATTTTGTACAATCACAATCAAGTAGTGGTTTTTGGAATATCTGGCTGTATTAATAGTTTAATCAATTGAAAATCCAGATCTTCCGTCAGCGTGAAATCTGTACCGCACATTCACAAACTAACAGTAAATGGCTAATGAGACAGTACGTCTGAGCACCCTCAGACTCTTGCAGAGGTCTGGGCTAAACAGCAGTTTTAAAGAACAATACTTTTGGCTGAAAAAAAAAAGTTTAAATATTTATAAGTACCATGGTAGCACTTCATTTCGAGGGCTTAAAACATTAACTAGTATGATTTGCGATGTGCGGCAGTGCTGTTGGGTCCTTAACCTTAATGCTCCAATGTAGCAAGCCTTTTTGTGTGCTGTGAGAGCTGGGAAAAGCTGCTGGGGAAATGCTTCATGGGACCTTTTGTTTAGGGTTCAAGTACATGTTTCTGGGACTGGAGGCCTCCCCTGAACTGAACAAATTTATTTAAAGCTGCTGCTGCTGCTGTTGTTGACATTGACCGTTCATAATGGTTCCAACCTAATCTCAACTTTAACATTGAAGTTTTGTTCCACAATGAGGAGGTTAACCTGCTATCTGAGTTAAATGACGTAGGTCTAAACTTTAAACTTAAAGCATTCATTCAGATATGTTGCTTTTTCTAAAGCATGTGTGGCATTTTGGAGCTTCAACATAGTTCACTGTGGGCAATAAATGGAAATCAACAAATGTCAGCCCTTAACATTGGATTTGTCCTTTGTCACGACAGGCATTTTTTAATTTGGTTTTTCTGTATGAAAACCAAAGGTTTCAAGGCTTCAGTATCTTGGAACATGTATAGGTCCTTGGTCTGTGTGAATGTAATCAGATGCCATTGAAATAAAAGGGATGTAAAAAAGGAGGTATAGAGGCAGTAAAGATGGAACTAAGGAAGTAAACACAAAGTAAAGAAGGACGTATAGAAAGAAAGGAGGTAAACGATAAGCAAGGAAGTAAAAAGGAAGTAAAGAAGGAAGTAAGGACTTAAACAGGATGTAAAAAAAGAAGTAAAGCAAGTATAGAGAGAAAGGAAGTAAAAAGAGAAGTAAGGAAGAAAACTAGGTACAGAATGAAATAAGGAAGTAAAATGAAAGTACAGAAGTAAAAAGGAAGAAAAGGAAGAAAAGAAGGTAGTAAAAATGAGGTGAAGAGAAGTGAAGAAGGATGTAATGAAGTAAAAAAATAAATAAAAGGGAAGTTAAAAGGAAGTGTGGAAGTCTTTTCCATGAGGCTGTCTGTTACTGTTGGGTCTCACGGTGTCACAGACAAGATGCACTTCTGTTAAGTCCACAAGGGCTTAGGTCTGTCTCGTTGCAGAATCAGCAGGTGCTTAAGGGCTCCGATATGAACTTTATAGGAGCCTTCGTGCGGATTTTTAGTATCTGCAAACCTGCAGACCTTCTCAAAGAAACTGGATGTAATTCATCGTTTTGGCTATAAGAGTTATGAGTTTTCAGTTATTTATTGCACTGGTTAGGAAACTCAGACAAAATGCATTTTCCCTCTTTGTCTTTGTACATAAACACATACATCATCTTTCCTTTAAAGGTCAGTCCTAAACATATACTTTGAACTTTGAGTGCAGCTGCCAGTGGAAAATTTAGAGTGGTGCACAGCTCCACGTGTAGCTCTTCCTTTGAGGCAAACTTCTTTTACTTTCTTCACAGAAAAATAATAGCTGAGAGAGAGCACAAAGTGATTTTGCCTTTCGGGTACACAGGCAGGTACTCACTGTTCATTCAAGCTGTTATTGCTGCAACTTGCACTTAGGAACTTAATTTTGTTTCGCAGAATTTCCTTAAACAAAGAATCATCTATAGTTCATTCGTGGCCAACATGCAGTAATAAACTGGACCCTAGAACCAATCAAGGAGGCTCTTTACAAGGTGACAGGGACTATATTTAACTGTCAATCATGCACAGGCAATGTAGTGTATTGTCGTGCCCGGCTGAAGGCTACAGAGCACAAATAGGAAGGAAATTTTGAACAGTGCAGTCAGTGGGCTCTTAACAGAACAGAACAGAACAGTTATGTTGTTCACCAAACATGGCTGGTTTAATTACCTTCTCTGCAAGTTGTATGATCTACAGTGTACAGGTTATGTAATCACAAATTATCCAATTCCACATCCATTTTAAAGGACCTTGGGCCTCTGGGGATTTTAACACTTAAGCAGTGTTAAAGCGGCACAATCAGCGGGACCCTCTCGACCTGAAACTGAGGCTGCCCCCACATCCTCCACTGGGACGCCAGTGTTTACCGCCCGGAGTGGCTGAAAATTAATTGGCTCCTTGAGCTGCCGTACATTCCCCCTGTCAGTGCGTTGGCCTCCCCTCATTGCCCTGTCACTTTAAGTCGAAGTGTATTAATGGACTGTGTGGGCCATTGATTCCTAATTCCTCTCGACGTCGACATCGGGGATAAATATTGCGTGGCACGGTCGTCTTCTAGTTTATTGTAATCAGCATTGTTATTGATCGCCTGCCTGAACCCCCAAGAAGTAATCTATTTTAAATACACTTTCAGTAAAAGGGGGGCATTTTGGGCCTTGTCCCAGCACATTGCCTTCATATTGGCAAGGAAAGAGGCACAGATACTTTAGCAAAAAGAGGGACACAGGATAAGGAAGTAGGAAGTGTCCCAAACTGGTAGGCAAAAGATAAAGAGACTGAGAGACATCCAAACAGACTGACAGATAGAAATATTGCCAGAGCCACCAAGTATGCTCAGTGAGATATATCTTGCTTTCACGTATTGGTGGTCTCTGGGTGGTCTCTGTCAGCATGTGTATGTGTGTAAGTGTGTGTCTACGCGTCTGTCTGCGCGAGGCCGTCGAATGATGGATGAGGGCTCAGCCAGCGGCGAGCCAGACGTCGGCGCTATCGATTTATCCTCACATTTGTCTGGGGGGAGGCGGTGCAGGGCGGCTCGCCACGGAGAGCATTTTCAACACAATGCGTCTCAGTATGTAATACACACACATACACACACAGACATATATAAAGTATTTTCACCATAAGTATTTCAAATGGGCAATGATTCTCTCGCGCCAGTGGAGGCGTGGGGCTTGGATGAAATTTCGTATTGTCTGTTGAGTACAATGGCTGCCTCCCTCTTTGCCAAGGTGTTTTTATTGATCCACCTGTAAAGTGGCATCCACTTGTTTAACATCCAGTCTAATACACTTCAATTGGCGCAGCCTTGCCTCCTCGACTTGTTGTTTTGTTCATCTATGAGCCCAGAAGATGGAGAGGAAGTGTGTATGTGTGTGAGACGAGTGTGTTTGTGCTCACGAGGGCATGATGAAACCTGTGTGTGCTTCCGTGTATTCATGAAGAAAAGGTCCCATGTGTGTTTGTGTGCCTAGTAAGTGTGTTAAATCTGTGTGTGTGTGTGTGTGTGTGTGTGTGTGTGTGTGTGCACAAACTCGCATGGCTGCAAATAGGTTTTTGTGCGACTGTCAAGAGTCCCTGCTTCATCCAGCCCATTGAGCAACAAATTAAGGTTGCAAAGCAAAGTTGCCATTCTCAAGGATTTGTTTGGTTTTTTTTCCCTGTTACTCGCTTTGCTCATTGGGTGTTCATAATCAACGTTAACAAATTGGAAGGACATCCATTGTTCTCCCAGTCTGGCCATCTTGAAAATGGCCCCAATTACCAGGGACACGGAGGCGACATGACAGAGACGCAATCTCAGTTATGACTGAACGTGATTACACCTGAGTTGGACATGTTATTAGAAGTAGATATTGATGTTGCACACTTAAAGACACACAGCCAACTCACCAGTTTTATATTCCACCAGTTGCTTGGTCCAGCTTTTGAACAGCAGTGGAGAGAAATCCATTTGCCTTATATATGTAGGCTGTAATTTCAAATATATATTTAATCAATTACCATGCAAGAATTAAGTGGCATTGAAAGGCCATGCATTGCAAAAAATGTTATTATTTGTAATGAAGAATTATCTGTTGGTATCTGAATGCATGTCGACATGAAGTCAGATAATTGCATTTCAGAAACCTTGGAGTTGAAGAATGTTTTGTACCCGGAATTGTGATTCGAGAGGCTGCTCTGCTGTATTTTTCACTTGTCAAAAGTCTGAAGCTCTGACTTTCTGACATGTCAGGAATGCTATAAAAGCTACCTGAGATTGTCTGTCTCCTAGAGTCATATATATGAGGTATGATAACGATGAAAGATTGAATCTGAATGTCTGTGTGGGTGTGCGGTTAATGATGATGACAGTTATGACAATAATTTTATGTTAGTGCTGACATTTACCGCATCGACGGGCTCAGACTGCTCCGATCATGGAATATAAAATGATAAACGGCTCCATGAGAGGATTCATAGTCATCTCTCACATTTTCTCACTCTCTTTCTTTTCTCTCAGGGGATGATGTACCTGGAGGAGAGGAGGCTGGTCCACAGGGACCTGGCGGCCCGGAACGTGCTGGTGAAGTCGCCCAATCACATCAAGATCACCGACTTCGGCCTGGCGCGGCTGCTGGACGCCGATGAGAAGGAGTACAACGCAGACGGGGGCAAGGTTGGTGTAAGTGGAGGCGTGAGCATGTTTTTGTGTGTGAGCTACCTGTCTAAGAGCAGTTTAAGACGCAGGAAAGCTTACATAAAGTGTAAATGCTGCAACCAAAAAGTAATAAAAACCAAAGGTCACGACTGGTGACAAGGGAAGTTAATGAGGCTGCAGGGACAAAAGTATTAGTAGTGTGCACATCAGAATGTGAGCGTGCATCTATGTAGGCTTCAACTAATGATTATTTTCACTTTCAAATTATCCTATTATATTTTTCAATAATCTGTTAAGTGTAGTCCGCCCAGAGCCTGACTCAATATCCTAAAAGTGCTTATTTTGTCTTGTCAGCAAGCAAAATAACCCAAAGTATAACATTTTTCTGGTGTTTGAGTATCAGTAAACACCAAGTATAAATAATAATAATACATAAAGTCTTATTTTTATTTAACACTTATACTAGTCTTATTCTTTACCCTCATTTTCAGTGCACATATTTAAGGTGGATGTCACTAATAAAACCTTCGACTCTTAAACCTTGAATTAGAAATTAAATAATGAAGTTTGGAATATGTTTGTCCGCACTAAACAAGCTAAATTTGAAATCTTCTCTCTTAGCACCAAACCAAAACCAGAGTATATACTGTACCCCTGAAAAGAGCTGGGGATAAGTCTGATCAGACATTGAGTTGCAGTAGCAGTAAAATGAAGAAAACGGTTAAGAGACAACTCTGTGATCACTCACTTCAAAAACAAATTCAATACAGCCAATCACATCGTAGCATAGCGGTCGTCATTAACTTGTACTTGTATTGTTAATTTTGTCAAGCGGCTCTGCAAACATGAAATAATGATTTACTTTTCACCTTGGGTAACAGGTTGTATTTATAAGCTCAGATCAAATCAGTTTTTTCTGCTCGCTCAGTGGTCTGCCAAGAGAAACGGAAAAATATGTAAATGAGAACAACTAAATCATAAGTACGGCTGCATTCAAACACAGTAGAGGGGATGATGGAGAGCACAAGAGGGCAGAACAAAGAAAACAGAATAGCCAGGCTGTGCTGGCTCCACCTTACCAAATGTTGGCTGTGATGATTTATTTTCTTGTTTACCAACAAAAAAGGGAGAAAAGAGAATAGAATATTTTCCCTTTTTTACTATTTCATATCAGGCATTTCAACATGGATGGTGATCTTTACAAAATAACCAGAAAAACACATTTTCACGCGTGAATGACATTTTCAAATGTAGCCAGATAGAACAGGTAGACAAAAACACAGAGGAATGTGTTTTATGTGTCCAATTTCCGAGCTCTTATGGTTGGGAAATATCTGGTGAACTGAGTTTCAGTAAAAACACAATTTAGAAGCACTTCATCCAAACAAATAATGCAGCCACAGTTCCAATCACTTTGTTTTGTTTGGGGACCCAGACTACATTAATCAGGAGCCCCTTCTCTTTCCCTCGCTTGAGACTTGCTATGCAAATTGTCCCGATCAACTCCCTTTATTAAATTGGCTTGTTCTTTGCTGCATCTATTCAGCTGGAGGCCTGAAGGTAACCACTGCATCTTGAGTTGGAGTTTGAGCTGTTATCTGCAGGCGAATGAAAATAAAATTATTTTTCATAAAGCAGACCAGGTGTGTTTGACGCGACCATCTGAGTGAGTGGCTCCGTGTCGGTATTCACTGATGCTATGATAAATGAGAGCTGTTGTCAGCAGATCTACATGTGTGCCATAAAAATGGACGCCCCATGAGAGATAAATCAACAGAGATGAAAGTGGAGGCGCTGCACCGCATTTCCAACCTGAAGCATTTCATTTTCACTCTTCCTGTTCATTTCCCCCAGTGAGCAAGCATGCGTGTCAGGCAGGGGCTGTATTTCAAATGACCGGCACGTATACACGTGTGCATATGTGCGTTCACATGCAAAAGGATAGATAATTGCCTTGTTCAGTGGACTCTACAGCTGAAAACTCCCCTCTTCAGTCAATATGGAATTTATACAACAGTCAGGATACGGCGATGTGTGCCATTGTCCTCGTCGGGAATGTCAAAGCGCCTGTTGTTATTACTATTTCACACACTGCCTGCTCTAAACCTACGAGCTATTGAGATAATGTGCAACAAATGGCCAATACAATCTCATTTAGTATCTTAAAAAGCACGCTCAGTATTGATGATCCCTGAGTTAGAATGAAGCTGATCAATCACAGTACTTGAGTAATATTGAGCAAAGCAAAACTATGGTTGAAAGCGTTGTCGATTTCCCAATATCTTACAAATTCTGGATTAAGAGATAGGGCAGCTGTTGAGCAACGTAGCATAAAGGAAAACTGTCTGCAATTCAAGTGTATATAAATAAAATCTGAAGATTATAATTCAGATTTTAGTTTTTTTCTTTGCTCCTTTCATCATAAAATCCCGACCTTTTTGTATCCATCCCTCTCTCCTCAGATGCCCGTTAAATGGATGGCTCTGGAATGCATTCACTACAGGAAGTTCACCCATCAGAGTGACGTGTGGAGTTATGGTGGGTGACAAATGTTTTGTTAATTGACGTCACTGTTTCTTATGCTCATACCTGTGGGAGGAAAGAAGTCAATGACCTGAAATCCTGTTTCCTTTATTTGCATTTCCACCCCCTTATCTGTCTGCTTATCTTGTTCTCTGTTGTTCTCTGTTGTTCTCTGTTGTCCTCTTGTGGCTCCTGTCTCGTCTTCCTATCTCTCCCTGTCTTGTTCTCTCTTTCTGTTCGCCTTCCTTGAATGCTCCACCTTCCTACCCCCCCGCCCAGGAGTGACCATCTGGGAGCTGATGACATTCGGAGGCAAACCGTACGACGGCATCCCCACGCGAGAAATCCCAGACATTCTGGAGAAAGGGGAGCGTCTGCCCCAGCCTCCCATTTGCACCATCGATGTCTACATGGTCATGGTCAAATGTGAGAAAACACGCACAAACACAGACATACCTTTGTTTTTGTTTTTTTGATGTCGGCGAATACATGCAGCTCTAGTCTACAAAGAGGCTGTCCAAATACTGCTGTCCTTAAAAATGACTGTGTTGACTCTTTCTTTCTTTTACATTCTTTGTGAGAGTAGCAGAGGACTTAGAAATTGATTTTAAAAAATCACCAAAATACAGGAAATGAAGTGTCTGACACACAAATTCTCATGGGAGAGAACCTCCAGACCATGCAGCTGCTGGCAAGGTGTCCCTTATATTTCCACACTGAGTCTGGCAACCCTAGGGCTAGGTGATATGAATAAAACCATTATCGATTAATATAGCAATGTAGTAAATAATTCATAGAGAAAATGAACAGATGTGAATGTTTTTTTTTCAACATGTTCTCTTTCCTGCTTAGAATTAGATGGGAAAGTCAGTGCAGCTGTTTGCTAAATAACTAATGCCAGTGCACAGTAAGCTTAGTTTAGCATAAAGATTTGAACCGGGGAGAAACTGCAAGCCTGGCTCTGTCGGAAGACAACAAAAATCCACCGACCAGCTTGTGCAATAAATACAACTGGTTGTCAGGTGCCAAGTTACTGCCCCCGGACAAGAAATAGTCCAACACACAACCCCCCTGTAAAACCACAACTTGCCATTGTTACACTTTGTTTTTTGTTATAAGCATTATATGTGCTGTAAAGAGAGTTTTGTTGACTTCAGACAGAGTGGGGCTAGCTGTTTCACCATACTTCTCCTGCTTTATGCTAAGCTGAGCAAACCCTCTGATGGCTGTAGCTTCATCTTTAACGGACTGACATGAAAGCTGTATCTTCTCATCTGACTCTCGGCAACAAAGCAAATAAACATACTTCTCAAAACTATTCTTTAAACTGAGAAACAATTTTAAGATGAAATAACCAGATGTGAATGTTCACTTTTAGCTGATACAGTGAATTACATACCTGACAAATCTGAATACTTCCAATGACATTGATACAAACAACATTTGAATACAATATCAAATATCAATAACTCTGTCCTGCTCAATGATTTTGTTTCAGAGATGGTTACCTTAGTATAAATATAATAGCAAAATATCTTCTCAGGGTGTATATCACCAAATAGTACACCCAAAGTATGCACCATTAAATCATTAATATATACAAGTCAGTCATCAGTGAAATAAAAAAAAGCTTCTCTCTTCCTACATATTGCAAATTTCTAACCATAACTGTTGCCTCAGCCACAGGTGGCAACATTAAAGGCAATGTCACAGAGCAGCTCTCCAACACATTGAGTGTTGTGGAGCACATAATCATTTTATTTTAAAATCCTGTTTATACACTGCTGTAACTCAGCTTGAGGTGCCACAGATGAGTTGCAGTTTAATAAAAGGGTTCATATTTTTAATATTCATCTGGTAAGGTGTTATTTGAGCTTGGGGGCTTTGATTCAAGGCTGGAAGAGAGAGATGAAAAAACAAATCAGAGAAAAAGAGGTGTTGTCACGAAGCTGATGAGATGCTGGTTTATGGTCTGCAACATGCAAGCCCCGTCCTCACCAGGGAGCCTGCCCACATTCTTGTTCTTGTCATCTTCCATCTGGACTACCACACCTCCCTCCCAGCCGACCTAGCCCAACTCTCACGCCAGCTCTTACAGCTCATCCAAAAAACCTGCCTTCTCTTCATCCTCCCCAAATTCTCCCATGTTTGTCCCATCTTGCACTCCTTCCCCTGGCTGGATTCAGAACCCTGGTGCTGGTGAGGGATCCACCCTCCCATATTTCCAGGAAAGGGTCCAGACATATATGCCAATCCATGATATGAGATCTGCCAGCTATCGGCTGCTTGGCTATCCTTTTCCTCGCATCAGTCTGGTCACTGCTCTAACCTGCCTGAACCCAAAAATGGTGGACTGACTTTTCTGTCTTCTGGTGGGGACTGAAAATCTCATAAAAACTACTTCACATCAGTTTCTCCCTACTGACTTTTTTCCCCTGCCATTGCAGTTCTTGGTTCTTTTTCTTTTTTAATTATCTAGTCTTTTGTGTTGCACAAATATTGTATCCACACTATGAATATACTTCTTATTATTGGCTGCTTGTAGCTCTGTGAATTTAAACTTATTCTACTGTTGCACTTATTGTGAGTCGCTCTGGATGAGGACAACAGCAGAGTGCTTAAAATGCCAAATGTGTAGGAAGAGAATGATGTGATTCAGCTTGGAGCTTGATATCAGAACATATTCCCATGACAAAATGTTAATCCAGCGGAAATGTCATAATATCTAATTGTTTTTTCTCCAAATGAAAAACTACTGCCAATGGCTTTTGACAGCACAGAAGCAAACCGTGAAACCCCTGCAGCCATTTAGCCTAATAACAATGCCAACTGATTTCTGTCTTTCCCCCGGAGGAGAAGGAGAATACATTTTATGTGCTACGTAAATAAGTCTGGACAATAATATTATAAATCCTGAGGTCAAAGGGATTCCCTTAACAAGCAGCTAAAATGCTTGTGGGTTCCCACATATTCCTGATTTATTATTAATCTTTAGGACAAATATTTGATACGTACCATATGTTACATTTCCTTATAACTGTATGTTTTATCCACTGAAACACTGAACAGTTTATCCTCTTAAAAAGTTTCCAATTGTATTAATTTTGCTGGTGCATTGCCACAGCCCTGAAAAAGACAAACCACACATATTTGCTCACTCACCGCACGCGCACAAAAAATCCAGTGACGTCAGCTGAGTTTCACAGCGGTGATCAGAAATAGCCAAAAGAGGTCAAACCAGCAGGAGGGTCACGCTGCCCCATCAAAAGCCAGAAGGAAGCCCAGCAATTGGTTGTATTAATTCTAATTACATGTTGACTGAGAGCCGTTGTTTGTAATTTGGTGTGCCGTCGCGCTGCGCAGCCCGCTGCCTCGGCGCCACCCCAATAAAGATGAAATAGAGTTTGATTGCTGGAGTAATTGCACCTCATTAATGTAATGTGCCTGCACTGGGGGCGCTAAAAGCGGAAATCAGACGAACTGAACGAAGACAGGCAGGCAAAAAAGACAACAGAAAGGGTCAGGGTTTTAGATCGACTGAGGTGTTGATGGTTATGGTTGAAAACAGTCAGGAGCTTTTATGGAGAGTAAACACAGATTCAACTGCATTAATGTAGTGAGGACAATTATTCTTCTGGCACTGTGGTAACTGCTAAATTTGAAATAAAGTGAAATGAAGCAATTATATTTTGCTCCCGAACCATTGATTCCCCCCCAGGACTGCCAGAGGCACCCAGACTCCACCACTAGCCCTCACTGTTGCAGAATATGTAATAGGGATGCAGACACTGAATTCAGCAGCCCAGTTTTCTTACTGTCTAATCTGAGCTGAGACCACCTGGCTTCTCACTTTACCTGCAGGGGTTCGCTGTGTTTACTGCAGCCGTGGTCTCTGGAAGAGAAAAGGAGGCTTGAGATCAAATCCCCTACCTTAATAACTACCTCTGAGTCGCCCTTGAGCAAGGCACTTAGACCTTAGAATGTGTGGGATTTAAAAGTAAACACCATGCTTGCTCATTCAGTGTTCTCTGGATAAATGTTAAAATGTTAAAAAGTGCATTTTATACAGAACTTTCATGGGTATGATACTTCAACAAACATCTTCCTATTTTTTTTACAGCTAAATATTGTAGAGGTATTTTTTGTAAGTAGACCCTGTAGGATGGCATTGACGGGTCTGAGTAAAACGGCAAAAGCAATAGAAGGTCAAAAATAGTATATATTTTTTTAAAGAAAATAACAATAAACCAGCAAAAAAACTTACAGGTTGAGCTAAAGGTTAAGAAACTACAGATTAGACAGGTGTACACAATTTCTACTTTCTCTTTGAGTGCTGTGTAAATCACACACATGCATTCCCATATACAAATCTTTGATTTTACCCTTAAGCCATCCATTTATCTCTCTAACCTCTTCTTCTTGCTCCGTCTTTCTCTTCCCCAGGCTGGATGATTGACGCGGACAGCAGGCCAAAGTTCAAGGAGCTGGCTGCTGAGTTCTGCAGAATGGCCCGTGACCCCCAGCGGTACCTAGTCATCCAGGTGGGTTCGTCTAAAGAAGCTCGCCATCAAAGCATTCGATAATGAAGCTTTTCTGTGCAACCATCCACTTGCTGTTCATGACTTTTTATGGCACATGAATGTACTAAATGGCAATGATAGCATGCGTTAAATAAATAAAATAAATCAGATTAAATAAAATTTTAACAATGTCACATATGTACTGTTTAGGGAGACGACCGCATGAAGCTTCCCAGCCCCAATGATAGCAAGTTCTTCCAGAGCCTTCTTGACGAAGAGGACCTGGATGACTTGATGGATGCTGAGGAGTATCTTGTGCCTCGAGGTTTTAATGCGGCTCCTCTGTCATACACAACCAGGCCCCGGGTGGACTCCAACAGAGTAAGGACCATAGTTAGGCACACAAGAACATAAGAAGAACTACTATTTTTGTAAGCTGTAGTCTTGAGATACTTGAACAAAGTGCTTTCAAATTACATTTCTAAATGTTAAAGCATAAACCTTCACTTAGAATTCAATATTTTTATATGATCACACATCATATCTCCTTAGAAAAACCCTTTCAAGTCAACTGATTTGACTTTAACCTCAAAACTTAATTCTTTATCTTCTATGGTCAAAAAACGCCCAACTCACTGTCCTCTGTAAGTGCTCAAGGTGGTTAAGAACTTCCAATACACTGATGATTTTCCTCTGCTAATGGCTCACCTCCATCATTTCCATCCCAGCGTGTGTGGCTTAAAACTGGACTCTTTATGCACTCGCTCCCCAGGCCCCAGGTTTCATTACTCAGAGTTCCATAAGCAAATAACAGACGCTCTCTTAAAATGCCGGAGCCGTTTACTAATAGACAATGAGTGCAGGCTCGGCTGTTTGCTCTGCCGCATTCACCACGTGCCGCTGGCCCTCGGCTCTGCATCTTATGCACCTTTACCCCCGTGACCTACCCATTTGCCGGCGGCTCTTTGCTCCCCGACAAACACACACGTACTCCAAAAACACACCCTCAGTAATCTGTCCAGGGTCCTGTCTGTTCAAGGTCAACACCCCTATCATGAATTGAAACTCCTTTGATTATGCAGTCAAAAGTCCCTACATGCCCAGACAGGGAAAGCAATTCATTGTTAAAATCCATCGGCTGGCTGACTTTGCCACGGGAAGTTAGTTATTCAGGTTGCGCCACGGCAGACGCAGTCCAATACAGACGGTTATCTAATCTGCGCTGATTTGCTCTCACACTCATACTTGAAAAGAAGAGCGGATAATGATTTTGAAGAAGGGACGAACAGAGAAGTTTTGAAGAAGGGGAGGTTGATTGCAATTGAGGAAAGGTGGTGGGAGTAGGTGGACAGATATAACCCTAGGACGTCTCCTCTATCTTTCTGTTGTGTTTTGAAACTCTGTTTCCTGTAATTGCTGCTGTAGCGCTAGCAGTTGGCAAGAGCGCAGAGGAGTGGGTCTGGGTTAAATAGCCCACGGCAAGCCAACACACCACCACAAGAAGCCCTTTGCTTCACATGTCATATTTTGTATTTTCTTGTGGGGTTTTTTGTTCTTTTTTGAGGTTCAGGTGTTTGAATCGTAGCTTTGCCTGACTGCCCCTCGCTGTCCCTCAAGGCTGACACATCGGCAGAACTTTGTTGGAGAATTCTACTTTCAACAGGCAGCTGAATGGGTTAAAAGTCTGGCTTTCTTTGCCGCAGGTGGCATATAACTGGCTTAAACTCAAACATTGCATTTACATCTGTGTTTGTTGTGGTTCAATTGAGCTAAATTCATCTTTACTACTACAACTGGTTTGTTAAACAATGTTGTCCCAGCTCTTCTATCATCAAATAGCTGCAATACAGTGTCATATAACAAGATGCACCAAAGTTTCTTAAATGGTTTAAATTAAAGAAAATCAAACCTACAGTTTGCACAGTAATTTCAAAAAGCATTTTTATCTGTCTCTATCCACAACCCACACTTTGCCCTAGAACCAGTTTGGCTATCGAGATGGTGGTCCAAACCCTGCAGAGGGCTCTATGGCAAGTGCTCAAGCCTGTGCGAACCAGGAAGCCACAGGCAGTGGACCAGTTCCGGCCCTGGAGGACCAACGCTGTAATGGGAGCCTGCATAAGAAGAGCTTGAGCCAGGCTGGGGCAGAGGACAGTGTTGGCCAGAGGTACAGCGCTGACCCCACCATCTTCCTGGGGGAGAGGGCGTCCAGAGGGGACACTGATGAGGATGGATACATGACACCCATGAAGGACAAGACTTCCTCAGGTACTTTAAGTGAAACCCAAAACACAGTAAAGTGAAATAAATGTAGCCTCTGGAATCAGGAGTCAGGTTCATTTTCCATAGAGACAAACAAAGATTTGTTGGGACTTGCCTCACAGAAGCTAAAAATATGTCCAGAGAAGTGTACGGAATTTTGGTGATGATGCATGACTTAATTTTAGGAGTTGTATTCCAAACTATGGTGCATGTAATGCCAAACTTTAAAATAACCTAACCTCATTATAGTAATTCCTCACCAATCTATTAAATACAAGCAACACCATGGGAATGACTACACCACAATCTTACATGCTGTTCCAAAAACACAATTTAAATGTAAAACAAGTTCATCTTGTATTTACTACGAATTCCAGCCTAGTGCAGTCATCTCTTTGCTCATTCACAGAGTAAATGTAATCTTTTCTAGTATATTCTGCCTGCCATTTTGCCTGTTCATTTCATTTCATTCCATTGATTAAAATTCCTACAGTGTTTCCGTCAACGGTGTATGTCAGCTACTACAGTCATGTTTTGCCTTTGATCATAATTCAGTCCATCAGCCCTGCTCTTGCACTACCATCTTTGATTTTTGAGTAGCTCAAAATATAACAAAGCCTGCAGCAAAATGTATCTGAAGCAATGTCAAGGAGCAAAAGAGTGGGCAGAATCAATAGGTTTCACACCCCACTATTATAGTGCTTGGAAGCAGTGAAGAGGGGTCATTTGCTGGCATTTTCACCCCCGGCAGATGGAGTTTCCAGTGCCAAAGAACTGCTGGCAACTTGCCCGTCTGGTCCTGAGTGGCTGCCATTATCGCCATTATCATCTCCATCTCCATCTTCTCTCCTCGTTAGCGAGCAATATCTTTCTCTTACTCTATTTGAGTTTCCATTTCTTTAGTTTTCTTTTCTCTTTATTTAATTTCCGTGGATCATTTGTTTGTCATTCTCTCATAAACTGCTTTTTCTCTTGTTCTCCTCTTTCCTACCCTCCCTCTCTTTTCTGATCTGTGTTACAGAATACCTGAATCCCATTGAGGAAAACCCGTTTGTCTCACGACGTAAAAATGGTGAGATCCACGCCTTGGATAACCCAGGCTACCACAGCACACCCAACAGCCAGCCCAAAGGAGAGGATGAATACATCAACGAGCCGCTCTACCTCAACACCTTCCACAGCCCTGCTGAGCTGGGCCTGGAAGCCCTGAGGAGAAATGGTCTACCCCTACCCACCCATCCTCCTTCTTCGATCTCAGCCACAACTTCAGGCTCCCACCTCCCGCTTACCATCCAGACCAGTCTGCCCCACTACCCCCTCCCTTTGGCCCAGCCTTCTCCATCTGGCATGCCTTGCCACCATGGCCCACCAACCCACATCCTCCACACCCACCACACCATCAAACCTGCAGGACAACCTGGCAATCCAGGTGGCAGCTCCGCCAGCCAGAGCCAAACAGGAACTACTGCCCAAGCCCAGGTGTGTCAGTCAGGTGCCCTGTCCACTTCGGCCACCATTGGGCACGGCAGCCTGCCAGCGTACCAGAGCCACGCCACCACGCACCCCGCCAGCTTGCTGAAGCATGGTGGGCTGACATCAGGGAAAGTCAGCGGGAAGAAGCTGAAGGTGACCTTTGACAATCCAGAATACTGGCAGCACAGCTTGCCTCCAAAATCATCTAACCAGGCAGCCCCTGACGGTGCCCAGGGAGGTTCCACCAACGCCAAGCTCTTCTATAAGCAGAACGGACACATACGGCCGGCGGTGGCTGAAAACCCTGAATACATGTCTGAGTTTTCCCTGAAATCTGGCACCGTCTTGCCACCTCCACCCTACCGGCAGCGGAACACTGTGGTCTAGATTGTTCCACTTGACAAACGTTCCTCAATCAGACTCTAGCCTCCAGCAACCCAGACATCCTCTCCGGTTCCACTGTTCCACACAGAGGGGGGCAGCCACAACCAGAACCGCCCCCCAACTCTTTCCAAATAATGAACCATCTGCTGTAGACTGTAGCAACATCAGAAGGAGGTGGACTGAACCGAACCAAGCAGACCCAACTCAGACTCACGCACCTTCAATCCAATCCAGTCCATTTCTGTTCTGTAGATAGAGACTGCGCTCCATGTCACTGAGAATGTGAAGGTTATGGTAGTTTTTGGCCGACAACGGACACATGATTGTCGCACAGCAGTGGAAGTACCACGTTGTCCCAGTGAGGTAGACCAGAACGACGTCAGACAAGATGGATTTGTCTTAGGGGACCTGAACTCACTGCCAGCCACTGCGGTGTCAGATTCATGAGAGGAATGAGATGTTTTAGTATATTTTGTTTTCTGGTAAAAAAAAAGGTCTGCGGATCCGAGGAACAAAACCCTTCTGAGGGTTTCTGAAATAGGCAAACAGACGGCGCAAATGTCGTTTGATGTCAAGATGTCTTGTTATGTGAATGACCTTGTTGAATGAAATGAAACAAAAATGAAAAAGACTTTAATGTTTAAGGTTTAGTCAGGAGAGTGGCTTCCACTAACATAAAAGACGGAGCACCGAAGGCTAATCAAGCATATTCAAATCGTTTTGACTATGGGATTATACTGGACATTCTCAAATTTTCCATCAAAAATGTCAAACTCATCTCATCTTTCGACTGTAACTGTGATACTGTGATGGCCAAAACTACAGTGATCCCTCCTTTCACATTTGTAGTTCAACCATGAACTGTTGAACTTGCCTGAAAACACACAGGCCACATGCTGTTCTGTTGATTTTGCTTTACTGCTGTCTACTTGGAAAAGCTGATCAAAACCAGCTTTTTCCAAGTTAAAGGGAAAAAATACACTGTAAACATTTTTATAAACACTGGTTGCAGTGCTGAGAAGATGGATTTTTGTACACTGGTTTTCCCTTTCATATCATGAAGCTAACTAAAATGAGTTAAGAGTGTCTTGCCATTAGAGTGGGAGGACATTTGGGGAAATTGCTGTATATGTGGAATAGTGTGATGAGACCATCCATAAAGCAGCTGAACTCAAAATGGTGATCATAGAGACAGAGAATGAGGGAGAGAGCAAAAGAAAGAAAAACAGAGGGGAGGGAAAGTTCATGCAAGCTGCCTAATGAAGACCTCAAGGAATGAACAAGACAGCACCAGCAAAGCACAGTAAAAACAGACTACTTTGTGTGTGTGTGTGTGTGTGTGTGTGTGTGTGTGTGTGTGTGTGTGTGTGTGTGTGTGTGTGTGTGTGTGTGTGTGTGTGTGTGTGTGTGTGTGTGTGTGTGTCTGTGTGTGTGTGTCTGTGTTTATGTCAGTGTGAATGTTTGTGTTCACATACAAGCGAGCCAGTTTGGCCTCACAGGAATATCTGTGGTAAAAAGAGATGCGGCAGAAGTCGGTGATGACATGCTGTCAACCTTCAGTACCACTGCTAACCAATACTGCACTCTGTACTGGTGTGACCTCAAACAAGGCTTCCACCATGCGACTGCAGTCAAGTAGAAATCACTATATTTTTAATGTCACCAGTTTGAATATAAAGCTCACTGAGTGGCCCAACAGGACATGGACACTGTGTTCCTGCAGCCAATTTTTATGTAAGCTGTTGATTAATCAGCGGCACATTGTAAATCAACAGCCTGTCCATAATGATTTATTTGGCTTGGTCTGAGGTAGCAAAGAAGACCCGAACTATTTTAAACCATTACATTATTCAACAAAGATCAAGACTGCATATGTGTTCTCATTAGGCTGACTTTTAATCTAAAGTTAGTAGCGGTAGTGCTACCCGCAGTCATAGCTCTATAAACTACTAATCTATTGACCTTGTCTTCTAGAAATTACATTCATATACAACTAATACCTTCCAGGTTGTTTTTTTATCAACATAATGAAGAAATTAGTAAAATGTTCACCAACAACATATTTTTCACAGCAAAATATCCAATATCTACTCATAGCAATTATGTACAGCGTTTTAAAACTTTATTATTTTTAAATGAAGGTACACAGCCCTATTAATATTTAACCATAACCAACTTCTTTTACTAACCTTTCTGTTGCATAAACATAACCCTATTAAAGATACAAACTCTGCTCTCTAACTTCTTAATTTTGTCTGAAGTATTCCAACCTAGTTTTACTCCTGAGAACACCAATAGAGCACTAATTGCCCCTTTACTCTAGAGAATCGCTCTGGCCCTCACTACTGATGCCTCTGCAGGCAAACTGCCAGTCAATGCTGCTAAAAGCGCTGGTGTTACAGCCATTATTTCTTCCACCAAGCCATATTGAACACCTTTGGGTGGGAAAACACCACGAAGCTTGCCAAACTTAGGAGATCAAGGTGAACATTTTGTAATGATGGTCGCCTCAGAGGTCCTCTTGCAATATCTTCCTAGAATCACATCTTAGTCCAATCAATATGAGCAAAATCTTGTAGTTCCTGAACCTCTGGCAAGTTTTCCCAGCCATTATCTGTGGAACATGAACATTATTGCTTTGTCATTGTTTTTAACAGCTCTTGATCATTCTGTGTCGGCAGCAGAGCCTTGTCCAGGCTGTTTTCTTGTGTAGGGTGTTTATTTGGTGTATTTTAATGTCTGTGTGTGCGTTTGTGTGAAAGTGTTCGTCTGAGTGAGCTTGTATATGTTTGTCCTCCCCATGGAGCACTTTGATCAAACCCGTGGGTAGAAAGAAAGGATTTCCACCCTTCGTTACTGAAATATTCAACTTGTTTATCTGGTCGTTTACCACTTCAGAAAGGAAAAGCTTTAGCAAAGGAAGGTACTGCGGCCAGGAGTTCACGAAGAAGACACATTTTAGGAGGTGCTGACCAGCTTCAAGAATGTCCTTGTTTCCAAGTTTTATGTTTGCTTCAAACAGTATGTATAATGCTGCTTTGATGATATCATGACTATTTGATGAAGGAGTATTTTGTAGTCCCTTTTGGAGCTCTAATTCAATGAAATAGAGACAGCATTTAATATCAATGTGAAATATTTATAGCGCATTTGAGCTTGTTTATACAGAACGATGGAAGAGTCTGCCAAATCTGGGTTTCAAGAAGAAGAAGAAGAAAAAAAGAAGAAATGCGCAATGGTGGTGAAAAGAAAAACACATGCATTGATTTCTCTCTTGTTTGGCCTAAATTATACTGCAGACCCAGGCAAAATATGTGTTTGTTTCAAGAATAGATTAGACTGAAACACTGATGAGACGACTGGCCTCGCATGTTCTCGAGAGCACTATCCCAGAGACACTCAGCAACCCTCCACTTTTAATAGAATCTTCTCAAGAGTTTATTGCCACAAAAGGTAGAAAAACATTCCTGAGCATCAAGACACAAGTTTGTCAAGTATTGCTTTTGTCATCTTAAGGCCTTGGTTATCTTTCTAAAGTACCACAATTTGTTTTCCTTCTAAAGAAGCCATCATTTTCTCCCTCTCTATTAATATTCTTGTTTCAAACATATTTTGCCTTGGCATTGACCCGTGTTTCCTGCTGCTACTTGTCTCAACCCTAAACACTCTTGTGGCTCAGAATGCACCGTGGCAACATGACTGATCACTTTTTCTTATTTTTTACTCTTTACTGTTTCCTCTCCAAGCCAAGGTGCAGAGGCATGTAGCCATGTTGTACTGAAGTGTATCCTTAAATATTTCATCCTCAGCAGACACCCACGTTATAGGCTGCGATAGAGTCTAATGTATAGTACAATATCACCTTGCATGGTACCAAAAGTGAGTGTTTTACTGCCCTCCACCTTTGTATCTCTTCATTCATGTCAATATTATATTCAAATGTCTGTCCAGGGAGTGGACAGCGTGGAGGAAATAACCAGATTTTTTTACTGAATTCAGTAGCACAAACTGGCAGACCTTATTTCTGAAATCTTTCATGGTATTTTTCGTGTATGGTACCCTATATAGTCTTTTAATATTGAGTTTTATTTTTTCCATATTATCAAGGATGTTTTTCCTCAAGGAAAACGACTTGAATCTATATGTGTTTTTTTCCACTATTTTTGTGTCGATTACTGTACAATATTTAACATGTTTGTCATTGTAGCTGCAAATTTTTAGTTGTTCTTATCTTAATTGCACAAATCATTGCTTATGAGTGGAGGTCATTCATTCTCTGTGTTCAAATGATCAGATCAGTATAAATGTACAGAATCTTTGGGGTTTCCTCCAAAACTTATCTAACACACTTCAACAACAAATGTGAATAGTATTTTTATAAAGCACTGAAATGGCCGACGTGGTGAATTTGTAAATAAGGAGGCGACGCTTTGAATTTATATGGTCTTGTCTCCTACTGCTGTTTTCTCCTGCTTATAACAACTTGTACAAAAAGAGCCGTACATATTTGCTTTATGTAAGTGTACCTTTTGACTAATGGGAGTTTGATTTTCAAAGTGCTTGTTGAGCCTTTCTCATGTGAAAACTCTTGTTTGGTGGCCCTTTTTCCAGATCTTTGTGGCTGTCCTCATGTAATGTTTCAGTTAAATGTAAAAGTGGTGATGGTGGGTATGGGGGTGGGAAGGGGCGGGCTGTTCAATCCACCTTGTATCTCTGTTTGGCTTCCCCATGCCTGCCATGTTTCATTCACTCAGTATTGAGAACACCCCAGAACAAGCAAATAATACCTTATTTTCCCTCTTTATCTCTCCCTCTTTCTAATTCCCATACAACTGAAACCAGTGCTGCCAGCCACCCCAGATAACCTGTGTTATCTCCTCCGTTACTTTCTACTGGAAATATTACTGAGCCAAGTCAGACCTCCTCCTCCCTGAAAGGCAGAGCACAGCCTTCATGGTACAACCCATTTTTCAGCTCATTTCAGATTTGTTTTGCATGCTTTTAGAGGAGACATAGTAGAGAAAAGGCGTTTCTCCCCTCCTCGCCTACGTTAGCTTTCCATACTTCCCCCATTGTCCAAGTTATTTGAAACCACACCCAAAGCTTTATATCATAGAAATACCGTTCCTCATGTTTGTTACATGAATCTGTCAAAAGTATATTTTTAATTTAATATAAATAAAGATTGATTCAGTATATGTTGCAGTGGTTTGGAGGTGATTTTGTGTATCTGTTGTGCGCCTTACAGCAAAAAAAAACCCAATATGAAACGCTAGTAGTTGGAGTAGATGCAAAAACTTTTGCAAGAGGAAAGTTGTGGCTCTTTGACATGCTTGCTAAGAAGAGTAAACTAATCTTACGGAGGCAGTTATTCTGAAATTGACTGTCATCCTTTCAAGTGGGGTAACTAGAAAATCAGCTATATCAGGGATTCTATGTCTTGCTCAAAGACACCCCAGCAGGGAAACTCTGGAGTCCTAAACCCAGATCCCCTTGCTCGACAGGCCACCCTGCTGCCCGTAAGTAGAGCAGAAAATGAAAGTCCCGATCGGTTGCTCCAACGTTCACTCCGACAGCTTTCGTAATAAAATTTAACAGATGGTGTCTTTAATTAAGACGAGGATGCTCTCAAGCTACGGCGTGCTTATTTTGACCCGACTTCTTAAGATCAACATTACAGAAGTTGCACCGGGGGCGAGATTCTGCACCGCACCACACTTTCATGCTCAAAAGGACTTGCAGATGAAGACCAGCTGCATCAAAAGGTCCGCAGTGTTCTCCTGGCCTCCTCCAAAAGCTCTCCTCCAATAGGCTAATGTGTGGATATAACATTTTGCTCTCGTTTTTCTCTCGCCCCGTGCTGCGCTTAATCTGCTGTTTACCCAAGTGTTGGTTATGTAAACTGGCATAGGCAACATCGTTTGCTATGCAGCGCTCCTCCATTGCTGCTGCATTCCCAGGCTTTCATTTCAATCATAAATAATACAAAACTGTCCAATGGCAGAATATGAGCTTTCTGAAGTCACTGCTATTAATACTAATAAGGCGATGGGGTGCTTTAAGTAAACACTGTTTATGAACAGAACCCCCCTCCTTTCTCTTCCTTCTTTCCCCCTCTCTCCTCTGTCTATTAGTTTCCTTGGAGCACTGAGACTCAATTAGTAAGCACATCTAGTTCCACCATAGTAATTTAGAGAGGGGGCTTCTGCTGCAGAGTAACAGTATTTGAACTATTTCCAGTTATATTCACGTATATTCCAAATCTATATTGGGTCTGCCCGTTTGAATCACTGTCAAAAAAATTATGCTTCCCATTTGCTACGGAAAAGAAAATTTAATTGATACTCACTCACTCCCTTCCTAATGTTGGACTCACATAATAGACAGATTATCTTGAACATTAAGCACACTTCCCGACAGGACTTTGCACATTATCACCCTCACCAGACAGCAAAGGGGGAGGTCATTGTTAATTTGGCAACTGCTGTATAACCATTTGTCAGTGTGTTACAAGTCTCCTTTATAGCTGATCTTCCAGTGAAGCCTGCCATCGCTGCCAGGAGATGGGGTTCAGCTCCATCCCGCAGGCCTGTAGCAATTATACTTACAGCTGCCCTGTACACCTGTGACATAGCTCGGTGATGACAGCTCGTCGCCGACAGACCGGTGCTGTTTAATTGCAGCGTGTCACCTTGATGGATGTTTTACCCACACAGCCTTGCACCAAAGAGAAACAAGGCGACTGTTTCTGAAATGAACGAACTGAAATGGTTCCACAAGCCTGATGATTCTTTTATATCATGGCCTGTGTTTCTTGAGCTGCAGTTATTTTGCTTACAAGTATTCCCATCAGGATTCAAAAGCCCTGAAAATAGAATGAGACCAATAACTATCCACATAAAATGACATTCAAGGGTGTACTTATTTCATGACAGGAGAAACTACCTTAAAATGAAAAATTACTCCACTTAAATTGTGAAAAGTGAGCTAATATGTCTGCCTGAGCCTGTACTGGTTGCAAAATGTGAGTATCCAGAATACAGTCCAAGAATACAAGGCCCGACAATTTAACCATCCATTAGTTCACTGTAGTTCAGCCTATAGGCTGCAGCTAATTTATAGATCTATTGTTGGAAAAGCAGATTATGATTCTGCACAGATTTGCAGTTGACAGTTCTTCCCTTCATACTGTTGCTGCTCCTGTAAAGCTTCCCATGAGACTTCATTTCTTTCATTCTGATGAATTTTTATGCACCAGTTTGTGTCCCCTGCTGAATGCTCCCTCAGGTCGGACCATTCACCATGGGTGACAGAACATTTTTGTACTCCCACTGGTGATCCATCTGCAATTCAGATCTGTATTCGGACAGCCTTTTTCTTTTTATGGGAGGAATTTGCCAACATTTAAAAAAAAACTTGCATCTTAGTCACCGTAACCATGGCAACGATGACGTTGAGTGACAGCTGTCATTCTAGATGTCGTTCTCTTCCACAAATTGTGATTTAATACTTTTGGTTTTAATATTTCTAGTGTCATTCACAGCGAAATACAGGACAAATCGTGTCCTGCATTATATGAGACAGATGGCAACCTTTGTAGACAAAAATTATTTTATTCATGGTTTGTATTTTCAAATGTTTTTAGGCTTTTAGGATGAGGACTAAACATCTTGGATATAGAGTTTGGCTTGGGTTCCTGGAGGACAGAGCCATTAATGTTAAGAGGAGGATCCAGGACCAGCTCCCTCACAGTGGGGAACTACTACACAGTGGATGTGCTCGTTGTGAACAGGGCTTTTCAGTCATCCCACATAATAATGTTGGCTGGTAGAAATGCCCTGGGCCTTGGAAGTAACAATGGGTTATAACTTTAATAAGTAGTAAGCTAGTTAGCTGGACATCAGTCAGCAATTGCAGTTACCCCAGAAAAACACAATGTGATCCATTCCTTACAATTTAGCTCTTGTATATTTGGTTTTGTGGAAGGTAAAACAAAGAGAAACCACTATCCAAACCCTTTATTTACAGAGTACTGCTCTAACAGCCCCATCCAAAGCTTGATAGACCTACTGTACCTAGTTACGGTTGCTAAGATATGACGGGGTAGGGTGTAGCGACAGGTGAATTAGCTATTTATTATCACTTCTTTAATTAGTAAGGTGGTTAGTTGTTTTTTTTATTTACCTTTTTGTTGTTTAAGCATCATGTCACCTATCAGTTACATACTTTTGAACACTGTACACGATTCAAGCTGCAACAGCAAGGTTGGCAGTTTAATGTCTTAGAAATCGTTTATCTGTTCCGTCATTAATGCGCTGCTTTATTCTCTTCATCATGCCAATGCTAATTTGACATCATTACTCTAACACATTTTATTGCTCCTTTTAACATCAGATGGTAAATTTACATTCTAATAACATGGACAATGCCCCTGGTGTCGCTTAATGTGCAATTAAGTTCAGAATGTGTCCATTATGTTGCTTACATAATGTGTTTAAATAAATCATACTTATCTCCCACCATGAGGTTATATCTCCCCTGTCGTGTCATGACTGCACATTATTGGGATAACACGCAATTGTGTGAGTTATGTTTACTGAGATCCAGAGTTAAAGCAAGAAGCAAGTTTTCCATCTAAAACTATGAGAAAAGTATGGCAACAGATTCTAACTACAATATAGCCATGATGACTACTTTCCAAGATCATAGAAAGTCTCCGCCGGGTTGTGAAAATATTGACAGCTCATGGTGGTTTTGGATTTTAATCTCCTCCTCCTCCATCTGACCCCAGACTGGTCAGAGCCATGATTATTTCAAAGGAGTTTTTAGGCCTTTGACTATAAAGCCTAGCTTATAATCACTGAGTCATTAGTATTCATCAACAATCCTATCAAAGCCTTTCACCATAACTATGCAAAAAAAACGAAGCTTATTATTGACTCAGTTGCAACTTGAATTTAATCTTGAAATCAAACATTTTTAACAGTAAATTAGTTGTCTCTTTGTTATTAGATTAGACCTTTAACGCTGGTGTGAATGTCAGATCAGCGTTTTCCCAATGAGCTGAGTCAAAACTTGTAAAATATACTATTTCCATGCCTGAGGCTCATTCATCAAGTCTGAGGGAAAGACAGGCCTGAAGAGGCCTATCTGCAGCGAGCCAATGAAGACACTCAGTCCTGACTGTAGCTGAGGATTACCATGGAGAAGAGGACGAGGAGGAGGAAGAAAATGAGACAAGACAACTTCCCGTGAGGCAACTTTTCCACAGAACATAGTAATCAGGGCAGAGACAGCGGCTGAGGAGGCAGTGGAGAAAGAAAACAAGAGAGGGAGAAGAAGAACAGGCTGAATTGAGGTAAAGGTTAGGCACAACAGCCTTAGGCATACTGTTGAGGGCAGCTGCACAAAATCACCTCTGAGAGGGAGAAACAAGGAGCAGGAGAGACCAAGAATGGATGATAGCAGAAGCTTGTATTGGCTAAATAACTCCCAACAACACTGCTAGATCCTCTAGTTAATAAAAAAATTAGGTTGACACATAAAAAACACATGGTTCAGTGTAAAACAAAATAAGCGTCTACACTTCATTCTGTGCAAGATTATACAAGCAGGCGTCTGGCAGTAATCTATATGCTGAGTCATGCCACAAGCTGTTTACTGAGAAGATCCATGAGGCTAACATGACATGAATGCACAAATATGTACTCTGGTTTTTAGAATTAAAAGCCGTTCTTTGTGCCTTATGGTTGTAATACAGTCAGCAAACTACTGCACAGCTACAATGGTCATATACATGTATGTGCACGCATGTTATACTAACTCAAAATAGTTTGGAATAAATGTGTTTACTTACTCTGCAACTGAGGATGCAGTGGCTTATGGAAGGCATTGATCCAGTCATATATAATATTAACATTTTATAAATAAGTAATTTATAAATAAATAAATTGACAAGCTTCTTGTTGTTTATTTTAACTCACTTGATAATCAAAGTATTAGTGTATTGTAAACAAAAAAAATTTGACAAAATGACAGTTTAGTAAATACAATGTGACCGGACATGAAAGCAGCAATCCCCATATGTCCGTTGACTGTGTATTTATTTGGTGTTTGGTGACATGTAATTAATTACAAAATGTTAAAGGTTATATAGCCTATATGAAATGTGTAACCCAAAATTTTTTGTGGATTTTAT